CCGCCTGCGTCCGGAAACCCAGCCTTCCATGAAACGGAGCCTGGCATGCCTCATGTCCGTCCAGGGTGCTCAGGATTCCAGAGGGCCGTTGTGAGCTCGTCCTTCTCTCTATGTGGAACAAACGTACCTTCCTTCGCTGCGTTAATATAGTGCTGAAGCTTTGTGAGGGGTATTCGCAGTTGTTGCCTCGTCTAAATGCACTACCCTGTTACAGGGTCCAAGGTTCCGCCAACCCCGAAGAACCAAGTCCGGCAACGGTCTGGCCAGTTCAATGTCTCTGGTTCGACCCCTTTATCAAGCAGGTCGTCCTCGGCCTTGGCCCACAACAGTCAGGCTTTGAGGTAGCCACCTGACCCCGTGCGATGGTGATGCCCCTTCTTCGCAGCATTTATCTTGTTTGTCGCTCACATCTTCTTACTACACTCCGATGTCTTGTTGGCCACAAATGCGTCCCATTGATCTCTAAGCTTCTCAAATCGGCCGACGAATTCTGGTGTCTTTTTTTTGTCGACAAACTTTGCTTTCAGCTCATTCTTCCACCTCCTGAATAGATCTGCCATCTTCTTGAATGCAAAGAACTTGACCATTGGCTCCATAACTGGATTCTCCGGATCCTCCTCTTCTGGTAGGGTGAAGTTTACCTTCAGCGCTCTCCAAAGATCATCTTTCTGCCTATCTTCAACAAAAGAAACTTGAAGCTCTTCATCCTTAGGTTGATTCCATAGCTCGATGTTGATCGGGATCATGTCCCTAACAAGAATCCCGCACTGAGCAGTAAATGCCTCCTTGGTCCAGAGGGGTTCAATCGGTTGGCCATCGCGCGCGATTGCTGTGATCGTGAACCTTTCATCCGAGCGCAACTTTTTCTTCGGGCCTCGTCTCTTTACCGACGTTGTGCTTGATTCGGAGGGCTAGAAATAAGAAGAAAGATGAGAGTTAATATGTGTAGATACCAAAACAATGAATGCATCAATTAGCTAGTCAGCACAGGCTTAATAAATATATATACCTGGCCGGACTCTGTTCGGTCACCGGAGCCGTCATCAAGGCCTCTTTCTTGCAGCGGCATTCGGTCACCGGAGCCATCATAATCATGTCCTTTCTCCTCCGTTGTTCGATAATCGTGGCCTGCTTCTTCACCCTCTCCTTCCAGACCATCGGTTTCGTTGAGATACGACATGACACCAGCTTCGGCTATGATTATGTCCCCCAACACCCGTTCTGCTTCCTCGTCTCGGTCGTGCTCCATAGTTTCTGCAAATATGACAACATGGCAATTATTATACAAACATGACAGATGGATATATTAGTGGCAAATGTAGACCTACCTATAGCTATTCACAACAAGGAATTATATTAATTAATGGCCTCGACGCTTCTCTAAGGTTTGGAGTGGCCTCGGCAATGATTAAAGGGTTCGGGGTGGCCTCGACGGCAACACTCTTTTAACTTGGTAAAGGAGGGGGTATATCGACAACGACAACATACATACATGGAAAAAAATGTTATCGGGGAGGGGGTATATCTACCCCCCTCATGTCGAAGTTATCGGGG